AAAGCAATTGTTTTCTTTGAAAAATCTGCAGAGTTTAGGAGATTTCTGGGATTTGTCTGCAAAAGCACCTTTGGGCTCGTGTAGTGACGTTTTAGGAGAGGCTTCGCTTCTCAAGGTGGGAAGACTAGGAGGCGGCGTTTTGTGGCCTTCTAGGGTGGTTAGGGAGTTCTCAGAAGACAGACCTGGAAATTAGATAATGTCTGATGTCATATGGTTCAGAATACCAAAAATTTGGGTGTCCTGATGGCTATAAAAGCAGCAACTTCTGCCTCACCTATCACAAGCAGAGGCACCAAAGCAGGTAAGTGTACAAACTGATGCAGTGAATTATCTGTTTGGTGGGACGCTACCCAGCTAACTCATTTCCCTCACGTTTTTGCCTCTTGTTCTTTTGCTGACAGGCTCTCCTTCCTCGGTTATCAGCTGTTCACATTTGAGGTCTCTGTGATGGCTAGCCTGAAGAAATCCATGAGCTTTTCCCTGATGGGGATTCTGGCCGTCAACTGCCTGATTCTCACTGCCCTGTGGGTCCAGGAGGCAACAGCACTGCCGGTCACTTCCCACTGCAAGATTGACGAGTCTGACTTCCAGAGGCCGTACTTCATCAACCGCACCTTCATGCTTGCCGAGGAGGTACACGGCATCTCACTTTCTCTACATAGCTACTTGGAACTCAAGGAGCCCTTGCCATTTTCTTTGGAGCACTTGTGAGCTCTTTAACCACACTTTATCTCCATAGCTGGAGACTTTCTATGTCTCTTTGGAGACGCTTTGAAGACCTAATCTTAATCAGAAGCTTTTTCTATTTGGCCTTTAGGATGTATACTCTGCATTTCATCCATAGAGGAACTATTTGAAAATCATTTGTTAATGACTTTTGACTTCTCTGTGCAATGTTCCAAACTCATACACTCAGTGTCTGGACATTAGGCCCGATGGCAGTGTACACACTCAGTGTCTGGACATTAGACCCTGTGGGAGCAGACACACTCAGTGTCTGGACATTAGGCCCCGTGGGAGCAGACACACTCAGTGTCTGGACATTAGGCCCCGTGGGAGAAGACACACTCAGTGTCTGGACATTAGACCCGATGCGGAGTGTACACACTCAGTGTCTTGACATTGGACCTTGTGGGAGCATACATTTCTTCTTCCTCCTCATCAACAAAGCAAAAACAAAGGTTTTTCTTTCTTCCAGGCTAGCTTTGCAGATAACAACACAGATGTCAGGCTCATTGGGGATGAACTGTTTCAAGGAGTCAAAGTAAGTTCTCCTTGTGGTGAGCAGGGATCATATGGGCTCCGGGTTAGCTGCAGGAGTTGACAGATCCTCTGGGATGTCCTGTAATATGAGCCCTGCTACTCCGTTTCTCCCTTCAGATGCAGGATCGGTGCTACTTGATGAAGGAGATACTCAACTTCACCCTTGGAGAGGTGCTGATCCCCCAGTCAGACAGATTCCAGCCCCACATGCAGGAGGTGGTATCCTTCCTGACCAAGCTAAGCAGCCAGCTCAGCTCCTGTGTAAGTCTTTCTTTTGGCTCCATGTATCTGCTCTCACCTTCTTCCCTCCCCTCCTATTCCATTCAGAGCCTGTGGTCCTCCCTCTCTCCTTCCCAAGCCTGACAGGGAGACTGGCAGTCCTCAGTGACATCAGAGGCCACTTTAAATCAGTCAGCAGGCGACTTTGGCTTTAACTGATTCATTCAGTTTGAGTTTGTAGGGGTAAGGCCTTATTAGTTTTACCTGTGGAAAGAAAGCAACTCAAGCTATGAATGATGAGAACGATGTTGAGAATTGTAAGCAAAAGGCGTAGATGTGGAAATATATCCACTGAGCAGAAGTACCTGTGGGGAGGGAACGGCACAGAGCAAAAGTCGAAGAGAATGAGGGAGATAGCAAGCTTTCTCGACTTGGAGTGTGGAAGTGTACTTTTTGTTGGGACTGGAAACTGAGAATCATCAACATATAAGCTTGATACTCCAGACACCCAAAACTGTGAACTGTGTCCACCAGGAGTGTGCAGGTTGAGGGGGCCTTGCACTGACCGGGAGGACCCACTTTTCACATAGGAAGCTTCACGCTCATTTCTTGGGCTTTGTTCCCACCTTTGATGAGGTTCAGTTTAGGTTTCGTTTCTGCTGCTCTTGCTACCGGTGGAAACCTCAGTAGGATTCCCCAACGAGGAGGACGGCTCTTCTGTAAGGGAAGTACCTGGATTTCAGTGTCCCAGAGAATAAAAGAGCTCAGAGAATCTAGGTCACCAGTGAAATCTAGGTCACTGTGGGCAAAAATTATTGACTGCCTCTATCCCAGGTCACGTGCCGCAGAAGCCATGAGTGTAGGCTTGCACACGGCATGATTCTGTTAGTGACTCCTGTTTTATTTTGCAGCACATCAGTGGTAATGGCCAGCGCATCCAGAAAAATATACAAACACTGAAGGAAACCGTAAAACAGGTACTATTGATAATTTAATAGGAAACATAACATTATTTGATTTTTCTACTCTTTTTCTCCTTTGTAATATTTTACTTGATTTTTCTACTATATGATCTATTACTTGATATGCATCAAGCTGGATATATATATGTATATATATACATATATATATATTTCAGTCTGTTTCTAAATTTGTATGTCATAAATTCTAGAGCTAGTAAAAATCTTAACTTAGCTCAACTAGTATCATCAGCCTGTGCTCTGAGGATGGCTGGTGGCAGAGACAATCATGGAAGGCAGCACTTTTGAGTCCCAACTCAGCTCTTACCCAGCAGCCATATGTAATTATTTCAGCAGCATTATTTTGTTGGGAAAGTCTTGGTTCCCACTAACTTATATAATTTGAAGACTGTGCACGGAAAACCAGAAAGTGGGGTGCAAGCTTACTTGATGTGACTTTCGAGGTCACTAAACTGATGCTCAAAAATGTGGCAAAAGTCAACCCAGAACAGCAACAAAGGAGTTGGACTTGCATATAGGATGAATATTTGGAATCACTGATATTAATAATAATTAATAATCGGAATTATAATATAGTACCTGATGGCTATTGACTTAAGATTTAAAACAAGAGTGGATAACCTTTCAAATTTTTGCATGGTTTCAAAAGAGTCGTGGATTTATTGCAGTGAAATTGAGGTGTGACTTGGAAATCTTTTTCTTATGTCTTACTTTCGTTTTTTAGTTTTTTCCATCACACCCTCAACAAGTGAGCATTTATCTACTGTGCACTAGTGTATAACTTTGTAGTGGGCAGCATCACTGTGTGGCCTCTTTGGGGGCAAGAACAGTAGCAGGAGGCTCAGGTCAGCAAGCGTGACTCACACCACTGACTGCAGTGGGAGTGAGACTCTCTGCGAGGAGGTGCGATTGTTGAAGGAGTTATCAGCACCATGCCTAGCCGTATCTCCTTCTGACTAGTTCCTGCTTACATAACCACAGAAGTCCTCAAATCAGTGTATGTTCTTATTTTTGCAGCTTGGAGAGGGTGGAGAGATCAAAGTCATCGGGGAACTGAACCTGCTGTTTATGTTCCTGAGAAATTCTTGTGTCTGAGCTGGAGAGACTAGAAAACTAACTGACCCTTCCTGCCTGTTAAATACAATAAGATTCCTGAAAGGACCTTTTTTTTCTTTAGTAAAGGAAAGTGAGAAGCTAAACTCCACCATCATTAGAAGATCCTAGATGAAACCTGGTTCAGTTGAAAAAGAAAATCAATGTTGTCATTTGTCTATAATACCAGATGTGCTTTCTAATCACAAAGATTCATTGCTAATATTTTATTGTAACTGATGATGCAAGAGAAAAATAATGTGTTTTTAAAAATTGATTATTTCCACAAGAGATTACTTCTCATTCCTTTAGAAAAAAGCATATGTAATTCCATTTCCATAATCAGTACTTTATGTAAGTTTATTTATTATAACTATGCATTTTATTTATGCCAGTTTATTAATATAGATTTATTTATAGAAACATTATCTGATATTGCTATTTGAATGTAAGAAAAATAGTATTTATGATAATATAAAAACAGGATATCTTTGGCTTCAATAAACATATGAATATCATAAATCTTCTGTATTTGTGCTTTTTCTTCTATATTCAGAAATATCATCATCTCCATTGTTATCTGATCAGTCTCCTAACTTTATGCTTGATCTATGAAAATGAGACAGCCATAGTATTATACTGTTCAAGTTTGTCCCCAGCAGCCTGTGTTTTTGTGTGTGTGGTGCATGCTTGTGTGTTTGTGTATGTGTATGTAAATATGTATGTATGTATATGTTTGTGTTTGTGTATGTGTGTGTATGTTATATGTGTATTGCCATGCATATTAAAGCCAGAGACTGATATTGGGTGTTCTGCTCTGTGTCTCTATAATTTGAGACAGGGTCTTTCACTGAACTGGCTTCCATCAAGTTCTAGTAATTCTCTGGTCATTGTCCCCCACATCACTGAGTTGACAGCCTTGTCTGACAATGCCTGGCTTTGTATATGGGTGCTGGGGAACCAAACTCAGGTCCACATGCTTTAACATTAGATACTGTTCCCCTTGGAGCCCTCTTTCCAGCCCTGAATAGTATGCGTGAAAGGCTTAGTTTCCAGGACAGTGGTTATTGAGAGATGATGTAGCCTTTAAATCTGGTGATTTTCACATCAAAGCATGTACACTTGAAGGGGATAATTGGATAGCAACCATTCTACTTTCTCTTTACATCATGGGCATGAGGGAAGTCACTTTGTTCTGTCGTGTCCTCACTACAGGACAAGTAGACCCAGGTGGCCAGGAACTGAAATCTCTGATAGAAACAAACCTTACCTCTTTGCAAAATGGTTGCTCCTCATGTTTGGTGCAGTAATATAAAGCTAACATACTCACACATACTTGTGCACACACACACATGCTCACACACACAATCTTGTACACATAGACACACAGACATGCATGCACACAGCCACACATGCATCCTCATTTTATGGATGAGAAAAATGGAATCAGAGACATGCGAAGAAATGTTTCATGAACACACTTGACCATTGTTGAAGCAGGTTTATCTGATCTGAAGGGTCTCTTTCATATTTTTGATGCAGAATAGAATTCTAAAAGGGAAAAAGATGTTGGTTATGTTTCACTTATACTATTAACTACTTATGGATTAAACGGAGAAGTGATGTTAATGGAGAGAAATACACAAGCAAGTGAGCTCCTTTATTTCTAGGTGAGACCTACTAGGAACGGCATTCCTCAGTCTTTCTAAAAGGAAGCCAAGGCACTGTTTCTCTAACAAGTGAAATTATTACTTAGACAAGGCTTTTGTACGAGAAAACCAGGGACTATATTATGAAACATACGAAGAGAAAGCTGTGCATCTTCAAAATCCATGCTGTGGTACAGAGGAGGAAGAGAGCGCGGGAGGGGGGAGCAACAGTGGTTAGATTACAAGACATGTCACCATCACAGAGGAGCCAGAAGGGAAGTTATTGATTATATGTGCCTTTTCATAGAAGGTCAAAGTTACCAGGTAGAAAAAGTTATCGACTGTACATCTAAAGTGTTTTCTTTTACAATACGGTGCTGTGAACCTACTCCCCAGGTCCCTGCCAATGACTTGCCATCCTCCTACAGCATGAAGTGATGAGCAGTGAGCCTGTGTGTGGATGACACCTCTTTCATGGCTAAGCCAAAGTCAGTGCATCTGTGCTTGGTCTACAAATGTAGAGAGATGCAGCAGCGAGCAGCTTTATGGTCTGTTGGATTGTCACTACTTTCTGATAAGCTGATGTTGTTGTTTGGATGAGAATCACTCCCATAGGCTTGTGTATTTGGATACCTGGTTCCCTAGTTGGTGGAACTACTTTGGGGATATGGCACTGGAGGAGCTGTGCTACTGGGAATATGCTCGGAGGATTTTAAAAGCCCACACCATTGACCAGATTGCTTTCTCTGGTTTCCAACTTTCTTATAAAGGTGTAAGAGCTCAGCTACTGCTCCAGAACCATGTCTGCCTCTTGTCATGCTCCTCTCCATGATGATCATTGGCTAACCCAGTGCTTTCTTCATAAGTTGCCTTGGACATAGAGCCTCGTCACAGCAGTAGAATAGTGACAGAGACAGATGTTGCTTAGGATGTTTGCCTTTCTCTTCCAAGTGAGTTCCAGTGCAATGATTTGGGCCAACTTAGAACTGCACTTGAGCCATAACTGTAAGAATATTTATCACTAAAATTCGGAGGTCTTACTAAGAAACTTTTAAAATGCCTTTCTATGTCAGACAACATTCCAAAGCAGACAGCATCTACTCTGGCTTTCCTTGATCCAGCCTCACATTGAATGTGCCAGAGATTTCTCTGTGTGAACTCTGAAACAGTGGCTAGATATTCTCATTCCACAAATGACTGACTTTCTGCTAAGCTGTGACTATTTCTGCACCAAATTATTCTAATAATTTATGAATGTGCTCCCTTCAACTAATTGCTTTCTATCTTATAGCCATGAAAATTAGAAAACACAAATCATTCGCTTGGGCATCTTCCTGTTGCCGATGGCTTACTATCACACTAATAATGAATCCCTAGCTCTTTTCCTGCCCCATTTCCATCCTGACTCCTCCCTCATGTCCATCTGTACCATCCATGCTACTATGTATACTACGGTCCTGTAGCACCTGAACTACATGTACTATGGTACTATGCCTGTAGCACACTGCCTGCACTTCAGGACTGTTCTCGAGCAGGGATAGGGGCTGAAGATTTAAACACATACACACACAGAAACACAGGGACACAGGTCATCCTTGAAACAAGAATGTCCCCTTTATTGTGTTCAGGGGCAGCTTATATAGGGATCCTTAATTGATAGCCACTCCCCAGCCAAACCTACCAGAAACTACTTCCCTGACATCAGGAACTCCTGAGGGTCTCATGTTCAGAGCAGCTGGAGGCTGTTCAGAGCACAGGGTATGGGGGTCCACAGCCCCTAACATCTATTTTTTCTGCCTCAGCCATGTGTCTTTCTACCTTACGGGCTCTGTTGCATGTCAGTGATCAAAATGGCACCTGACAATAGTGCACTCAGATATTAGAGGCAAAAAAAACCCTTTAGAGCTGGTCTGTCATGCAGGAGTTACTGACGTGATGAATTCCTTCACTAGATGAAAGACTAGTGAGTACCACGTGCTTGTCTTAAAGTCAGGACTGATAGTCTCTTTTCACCAGGGATTACTGGTCTACCTTGTGGTCTTGGTGCTGGCTTCTTATCCCTCAAGAGGGTTAGGGGTGGGGTTGTGAGTTGCTGCTTACTTTTCTCAGCTGAGCCTGTCTGTGTCTCTTGCTTTTTAACTGTCCCATAGCTCTTTCCTCTGTTTCTTAGGTATAAAGTGAATGCTTTACTACTCAAACGCTTTTTATTCAAAGAGTCTTGTAGTGGAAGTTTGTAAACTGCCATCTTTGCCCAGAAGTCTTACAATTCGTTATTTTTCTTAGGTCTTCAGAACAGCTATAAGAAATGTAACAGTGGTGGGCATGCTTTCTATTCATTAGCTGTCAGTATTTTCATTGCTGTCTCCTATATGAGTGGTTCTCAACCTGTGGGTCACAACCCTTTTGGGTGGAAAGAATTTTTCACAGGGGTGGCCTAAGATCATCCGCATGGGGGCCATCTGCATGTCAGATATTTACATTATAGTTGACAACAGTAGCAAAATTACAGTTATAAAGTTGCAAACAAAAATAATTGTATAGTTGAGGGTAGCCACAACATGAAGAACTGTATTAAAGGATTGCAGCATTAGAAAGGTTAAAAATCACTGCCCTATATGAAGACTACTTATAGTGGATCATATTTTAATCTTAGATGGAAATCTGACCACACTGACATCATATAACACTATAGTAGCTGATGAAATTCCATGAGTTTTCTGTGCTGGATCATATGTTTTCTCTCCGTCCTTTCAGGGATAAGAGTGGGCTCTACATACAAGGAAGATGGACTGTGCTGCTTGGCTCCTTCAGCTTCTTCTCTCTCCCTTCCCAGATCACTTGGGGCCCAGAGTGACTGGGCCAGGTCGCCTTTACCCACATGCTTGCTTTCCGGATTTTGCTTGCACTTGGTTTATGGACGAGGTTAGCAGGAGGCTGAAGAATGAGAATAAGGTCAAAGCACTGAGTCCTCAGAGCCCTCCTGCTGGGCTGCTAATCATATCTGAAGTACATTTCTCCGAAAAGCCAAAGCTCCCTCAACCATTCTTTACATCGCTCTTTTTACTGTTGTTCTGGTAACTTCTCTTAACTGGTCCCCAGTGAGCTCCACAGAACTGCAAAATTTCTTACTGCTTTCCTTGAACTCTTTCTACAGCTTAAAAGCAGACAAATGAACCTGCTCCTTTAAATTCTCCTCCATCGCCCAACTTGTGTCATGGGTCCCTGCTTGGTGCGCCTGTCTCCTCTATGCCCCCCACCTTACCCTGAGTACTGGCTGGTTTCCTGTCAACTTGACACAAGCTGGAGTCATCAGAGAGGAAGGAGCCTCAGTGGAGGAAAAGCCTCCATGAGATCCATCTGTAAGGCATTTTCTCAGTTAGTGATCAGTGGTGGAGGGCCCAGCCCATGGTGGCTAGTGTCATTCCTGGACTCTTGGTCCTGAGTTTTATAAGAAAGCAGGCTGATCAAGACATGAGAAGCAAGCCAGTAAGTAGCTCCCCTCCGTGGTCTTTGCATCAGTTCTTGCTGCCAGAATCCTGCCCTGTTTGAGTTCCTGTCCTGACTTTTTTCAGTGATGAACAGCAATGCTGAAGTGTTAGCCCAATAAACCTTTTCATCCCCACAACTTGCTGTTTGATGATGGTGTTTTATTGCAGCAAGAGAAACCTTAAGTAAGACAAATTGGTACCAGTGTAGATGGGCATTGCTGTGACAAACCTGACCATGTCTTGGGGAGGATTGTAGAAGGACTTTGAAACTTTGGGCTAGAAAAGCCATTGAGTATTAAAAGTTTTGTGGGAACTTGGAAGATAAGAATGTTGAGACCAGTGCAGAAGGTGGAGGCCTGGCTTGTGAAGTTTCAGAGGGAAGTGTAAAGATTCTTTCGGGGACATTTGCTATTTTGATTTAAGATTTGGTAGTTCTGGTTAGCTGGGGCTGAAGAATCAGCTGTGATTAACAAGACACCAGAAACTACTGAAGTGAATCCTTTACATTACTAAGACAATGGATGCTGGTCAGCTGGCGTGAAGAAATTAGCAGTGATTAAGAAGAGACCAGCATCACTGAGGTGAACTCTTCTGGGAAGTGTTTACTCAGAACACTGAGAAGCTGTGTTGCAGAGCTGGCCAAGGTTGTACCTCGTGCTGGTAGCCGGATTTGACAAAGTGTAAGAGTCACCCAGGTGGTACTGGTTTTGAAACCATGAAGGGGTCATGGAGAGCAGCTGAGGCCTGACACTGTGAAACCTGAGGAGGCCATTGGTGAAGGTGCAGCCTCAGTGGCAGTTGAAGGTTGAAGACTGAAGGGGTCATGCTGAGAAGTTGAGGCTTGGCACCATGAAGAGAGCCTATGAGAGGCCATTGATGAAATTGCAGCCCAGTTGCAGCAAGGGAGCCCAGCATTTGGAGATGCCAGTACCATGGGATGACCATCAAGAACAGCAGCAGCAGTGGAGCCAGCCTGAGCCCAGAAGACAAGCTGTGTGTGCCGCAGAGGGCAGAGCCAGAGAGGGACCCAAGCCCTTTTGGAGGATTCCAGAAGATCGTGAGTGAAACAGACAACTGGACATTGAGCTATTTGTTTATTCATATTATATTTATTTAAATAAACCGTTTATACTGTTGGAGTTTGATTTTGCTTGGTTGAGATTGTTACAGTACCGTGATTCTTGCTTCTTGATGAAAGTGTTTAATTTTGATTTTTAAAGGAGCTCACAGATGAAAGATTTGAACTTTTAAAAAGATATTGGATGTTTTGAAGAGAATGAAATTTTAAAGACTGTGGGACTTTTAAAATTATTTATGATTTTATTGTGAGATCTTGGAATAAGAGAGGAAGGGATGTGGCTTAATAGTGATGTGTTTGCGTGTCAAATTGGCAAGGGGTCAGTTGTACTGGCTGACACAAGCTAGTCGTCAGAGGAAGGAGCCTCAGCTGAGGAAACGCCTCGATGAGATCCAGCTACAAGGCATTTCCTCATTTAGTGATCAATGGGGGAGGGCCCAGCCCAAGGTGGGTGACGCCATTCCTGGGCTGAAGATCCTGAGTTCAATAAGAAAGCAGACTGAGCAAGCCAGGGGAAGCAAGTCAGTAAGTAGCCCCCTAACCATGACCTCTGCATCAGCTCCTGCTGCCTGGCCTGCTTGTGTTCCTGTCCTCACTTCCTTCAATATGCACAGCAATGTGGAAGTGTAAGCCAAAGAAACCCTTTCCTCCCCAACTTACTATTTTGTCATGGAATTTGGTCACAGCAAAAGAAAACCCTGCTAAGGTCTGGGACTCGGATAAGATTGAGGGAGACAAGTGCAGCCTGTTGTTAGCATCTTGGAGCTACGTGAAAACGTCTGTAAGAAAACAAAATATGAGATGGTGGTGTTTTCATTTCTAAAATTAAAATTAAGCACTTAGTGTCTTTTTGTTTGTTTGTTTTGCTTTTTTGTAAGATGGTTTCACTGTGTAATAGCCCTGACTGTCCTGGAACTTGCTCTGTAAACCAGACTGGCCTTGAACTCAGATCTCTGCCTGCCTCTGCCTTTTGAGTGCTGAGATTAAAGGTGTGCACCACCACCACCCGACTAAGCACTTATTTTTAAAAATTTCTGCCCCTGTTGCTTCCATGAGGCTCCACACTGGGAAGTAGAGGTTCATAGTGCAGCATGCACTGTCTCCTAAAGGAACCTAACAATGTCTCCTCCCCTCTGGTCTAGAAGTCCCCTTGCTTCTCCCTTTGTTGGCCTTTTCTCTCACTGCTGCTACTTGGGGACACTTGAGCATCTCTGTTTATTCCAATTAATCCAGGATTGATATTTGGTTGCTTCTCATCTGCTTAGCCCTCCTTTTATTTGTCCCTTCTCCTTGTTGCAAATACCAAAGATCTTCAGAGTGACCACACATGTCTACGACAGCCATGGTCCCTTCCTTATTGCAATTTTTTTTAACCACTTGGGATCATTCTGTGCAGCTCACATCTTCCCTTATGATGGCAAGCATTCTCACCTCAGTGCCGCCAGGGCCTTAGACAGATGCGGCCTTCCTGGTGGGCTTTGCTGCTCGGTGAGGCCCACTGTGTGAGGTCCTGGGTGCTGTTTATTTGTCGTGTGTCTGTGTGCTGTGAGATGCTTTTGCGAGCTGCTTCTCAGCTGAGACACCCACCCTCCCCCCCTTGCCATTGCAGCAGGTGCTATGGTTGCTGAAGAATTTCGTGGATCTTAGGTTACTGTTTGCCTGTGTGAAGACTTTGGCAATTGCAGTTGGTATAATTCTGTCACGGGCTATGCAAGACCCCATTTGACAGGAGTCACAATGCTTGGTCTTCAAGGAGCCTGCGACCTTGTGAGGATGATAGACACCGAACTGCACCAGTCATGGACAGACTAAACCACTACTGCAGAGGTTGACAAGATGACAGTTGCCCTCACTTCTGACTGAAAGTTGGGGAACAAGCTGATCTTTTGAGAAATTGGAACAATTTCGGCAGATTGAAGTAGCCCCTCTGTGAAATGCCCCATTCTTCTTCCTTTTCTGATCTCAGGGTGTTAAGTGCTCTATTTTCAAAGTTTAGTTTCTGTACCTCCCTTCACGCCTGTCACCCTGCAGGCTTTAATCGTTTGTTACTTATCCACCTTAGAGCTTTTTGAGGGCAGAAACTATTGTGCCAGTTTGTATTCCTGGTCCCTTCAGTTCATGGCCTTGGAGGAGATTTTAGATATAAACCATGGCAGTCCTTGTATGCACAGATTGTTTTAAAAGTAACCCATAAAGCTCTCCATTTCCCCTTCTTTATTTTCTCCTCAATCTTCCCAGATACACATATGGAATGTGTGCTGCCTTTGCGATCTGTTCCCCCAAACCATTAATTTTCAGGTAAATGTTCTCTACTTGTCATTTAGAATGGCAGACCCTTACACTATTTTCTCCTAGGAACATTTATCATTTCATGGTTACAGCAGGCTAAGCAGGTGCTCATCACACCAACAGACTACAGCTGATGGTAGGAGCTCAGCTCCACCGAGTCAGCCTCTGATGGGCACGGTGGGTGGCACAATGTGGCGGAAGTACACAGAGAAGCAAGTGGTCACCCCTCAGAAAGGAGCAGACGGGGCATGCTAAGCTTGTTTTGTGTATAATCATCCCAAGAATGCAAGGGATGCTCTGAGGAACGCTCAGACTCAATGACCTCTAGTCAGACCCTATAGCCCTGAAGTTCTACTATCTCCCACACAGCCATTCTGGGCCCCAGGCTTTTTTGTCACAGCAGACCTTTGGTAAACACTTGGGCCACATTCAAACACAGCATGTATTTAGCCTATAACATAGTTTATTGGTGTGGGAGGTGCTTCTGTCTCTGTGTTGCTTGTCTTGGTTTTTAATGAATAAAGAAACCTCCTTGGCCTGTTGACAGGGCAGAACTTAGGTAGGCGGGGAAGACAGAACTGGATGCTGGGAGAAGGAGAGAGTCAGGGAGACGCCATGGATCCGCACCTGGAGATAGATGTGCTGGAACTTTGCAGGTAGGCCACAACTTCGTGGTGATACACAGATTAATAGAAATGGGTTAAATTAAGAGTCAGCCAATAAGAAGTTAGAGCTAATGGGCCAAGCAGTGATTTAATGAATACAGTTTCCATGTGGTTATTTTGGTTCTGGGTGGTCAGGACAAACAAGCAGCCCCCTGCATCAGTTTATTTCCATTTTTAGTGGTGGTGGTGTTAGAGATAGGGTTTCTCTGTGTAGCCTTAGGTGTCCTAGAACTTGCTCTGTAGACCAAGCTGGCCTTGAACTCACAGAGATCTGCCTACCTCTGCTTTCCAAGTGCTGGGATTAAAGATGTGTGCTACCACTGCCTGTGGCAGTTGGATTAATGAGGACCAATGATAATAGGTATTTGAACAAGTTTAATGACAAAACCAGACTCACGAAACCAAGGTTCCAGC